CCAGCCCTCCCTCCGGCCCCACGGCGCACCAGGACTCCGGCCCAGGCACCATATTTGGGGAAAGATCCGAAAAGCAGCGACTCAGGCCCGTGCCCGAGCATTCCCCGCGTGCCTCCGCCCCGGCGGCCTGGGGGGCTGAGGGACTAAGTCCTTTTATAGCCAGGAGCTCGCCGAGGGCTTCTGCCCTGACTTCATGGCTGGTTTCCCCGTGCGCTCACCGCCGGGGGCACGGCAGCCCGGGGGGCACCCGCGGCCCTCGAGGTGCCCCGCTCGGGGCTGGCCAGGCCGCGGGCATCCTGTGGGCATCCCCGGGATTCCCACTGGCCACCGGCCCCCTCTGGTAGCCCAGGGCACAGCGGGGCACATGGCAACCATCCCACTGGGCTGAGCCCCCCAGGACCCTTGCTGCCTGTGAAGAGGGACCTCATTGGGCACCACTAACCCCCCCTGGTTGCCAACCCCACAGACCTCCCCCTGGCAGCCCCCCCCGTGCCACAGAGGGGGTCTCTCCCAAGTCCTCCCCCAGTCCTGGTGTGAAGGAGGAGCCGGTGCCACAGCAGAGCGTGGCTGACACCCAGCAGGGCAGAGCTCACCCCCCCTCCCCATGCCCCCCCTGTGCCCCCCAGGCTCCCGGGCAGGAGGCAGCAGCCGTGGGCAAAGTGCAGACACTTTAATGCGAGTCCCTTCCCAGCAGATCCACGCACGGAGAGCACACGGCAGCCTCCAAGGGGGGGCACACAGCGACCGACACCCCCCACCCCCTGCCCCGGGACGCTGACGGAGACACCAGTGGGGCCTCTCCTGCCGTCGCCACCTCCACGGACACGCGTGCCCTCACCTCCCACCCGTCCGACTCAGGCACTGAAGAGAGACCCACGGCCCCCTGCCCGGGGGGGGCCACGGGGCTGCTGGCACGGCGCTCGCCCCGGCCCCCCCCCAGCCGCGGGCACACGGAGCGGCACATTTTCCAGTGTCACTTGCCACCGAGGACGGGGTGCCCTGGTGGCCCCCCAGCCCTGTTTTGGGCTACAACGGGCACTCAGCACCCAGGGGGGTGGGGGAGTGGGACCCCACCGATGGGGAGGGGGACGGAGCGGCTGGCGGGACCCCCAGCACGGGCATCCCTCCCCAGGGGCACGCGGCGCCCCGGCGGGGCCGGGCGTTTGGCACAGTCCCGGGGCGAGCGGGGTGGGCCGGGGGCTCCTAGAAGACGTAGATCTTGTCCCGCTGGACACAGTCCAGGTCATCGTCCAGCGTCAGCAGCACCTGCGGAGCCAGGGGAGGGGGCCACGGTGAGCCAGGGGGGCTGCGGTGAGCCGGGGGGGCTGCAGTGAGCCGGGGAGGGGGGGGCCAGGGCAACGGGGCCGGTGGCAACCAGCACCTACCAGGAAGGAGCCGAACATGGCGATGGAGGAGAGGAAGTGCCAGATGTCGTGGTCGTCGAAGAAGTCGAGCAGGATGCAGTCCCGGTTGTGCTCCCGCGACTCGGCCGGCGTTTTCTGCCAGGGACAGGGCCAGTGGTTCCCCACGTTGGCCAGTGGCCACCCTGAGCCCCCCCTGCCCCATGCCTGCTCCCCCCCCACTCACCTGCCACGTGCTGAGCCCCTGAAAGAAGAAGAAGAGGGCGAAGCCCCAGACCACGGAGGTGCCGACGATGCAGAGCAAGGGGATGAGCTTGATGCGCTCGCCGCTGCGGAGCTGCGGGAGAGGCCGTGGGCAACGTGTGGGCAGGAGCTGGCGGGGGTGCCCCGTCCCTGCCCTCCCCTCCCCTCCCCACAGGGCTCTGGGTGCCCACGCAGCCCCCCACCCCACAGGGGTCAGGGCTCGCACCTTCATGATGATGTAGAAGGCGAAGTAGAGGAGGAGGTTGCAGATGCCGATGGCCAGCAGGTAGGAAGCGAAGTCGTTGGGGCGGAAAATGAGGCCGTAGGCGGCTCTGGGGAGGGGGGGGAAGGCAT